AGAAAATTGAACTTTTCGGAAGTCCGTTAACAACAAATTCTTCAGCCTGCGCGGTAAGGGGCGAAACCAGCAGCTGGTGGAGCAGGGTTGCACAGGAAAACTCGGTCAGATGGACTCAGGTGCGTGGAATCCAGGTGCGTGGAATCCAGGCACAGGGTTGGACCTAGTGAGCCACCGAGCGAGCCACCAAGCCAGCGACCTCGAGGAAAACAGCGAGGGAGCAGGGCTGCGGGTTGACTGTGGTTGAGCATTTGTGCACGGATAGACAAGCGAGGGAGTAGATGGACCGGAACCCAGCGGTCCCCGGCCAGCGGCAGGGAGGGCGCCGCCATTTCCCTGCTCTGACCCCACCTCCACATACAGCGTCATAACCCAGCGACTCTGAGTGGCCTGGCCCTGGTGAACCACCTAAGCCTCTGCTCCTCACCCAGCAGCAAGAAACAACAGAGGGGGCCACCATTTCCCCGCTCTGACCACGCCCCCACATACAACGTCACAACCCAGCGACCTGGGAGTCCATTGTACCGCTTCTCACACTTAAAGGGCGCGAACAGACCAAAAATGGCACAAGATCTCAGAGCCCCAGAGCCTATAGATCTAAGTGATGAAGAAATAGCAAAACTCTCAGACGCACAGTTTAAAACACTGGCGATCAGGATCCTCACAGAACTGGTTGATTATAGCCACAAATTAGACAAATATATGAAGGCGAAACTAATTGAAATGAATGGAATTGCACAGGACACCAATAGCAATCAAAAGGAAACTGGGACTCAAATCAATGGAGTGGACCAGAAGAAAGCAAATAATGGCCAAACAGAAAAGAGTCAAGAAGCAAGAATTCAGAGAAATGAGGAGAGTCTTAGGAACCTCCAGGACATCTTTAAACGCTCCAACATCCGAATTATAGGGGTACCAGAAGGGGGAAAGGAACAGCCACCAGTGGAAAACTTATTTGAACAAATAATAAAGGAGAATTTCCCCAATCTGGCAAAGGAAATAGACTTCCAGGAAATCCAGGAAGCTCAGAGAGTCCCAAAGAAGTTGGACCCAAGAAGGAACACACCAAGGCACATCATCATTACGTTACCCAAGATTAAAATGAAGGACAGAATCCTAGAAGCAGCAAGAGCTAAAGGGACAGTCACCTACAAAGGAGTCCCCATCAGACTGTCAGCGGATTTCTCAAAAGAGACCTTAGAGGCAAGAGGGGCTGGAAAGAAGTATTCCAAGTCATGAAATCCAAAAACCTACAACCAAGATTGCAGTATCCAACAAAGCTTTCATTTAGAATGGAAGGGCAGATAAAATGCTTCTCAGATAAGGTCAAGTTCAAGGAGTTCATCATCACCAAGCCCTTATTATATGAAATGTTAAAGGGACTTATCGAAGAAAAAGAAGTTAAAGAAACATGAACAGTGAAAGGACAACAAACTCACAGTTATTAACAACCACACCTAAAATAAAAGCAAACTAAAAGGACAGCTAGATCAGGAGTGGAAACATAGAAATGAAGATCTCAAGGAGGGTTAGCAACAGGGGAGTGGGAGGAGGAGAAGGGGGGAGAAGGTACAGAAAATAAGTAGCATAGACAGTAGATAGAAAATAGATGGGGGGGCAAGAATAGCATGGGAAATATAGAATCTAAAGGACTTGAGACACATGGTCATAAACTAAAGGCGGGGTAATGGTGGGGCGGGGGGGAGGATGGAGAAGAATGAAGGGGGGAATAGAACAACTGTAACAGCATAATCAATTTAAAAAATTAAAAAAAAAACAATCTCTGTCAAATTGTATACAGTGTGCAGCAGTATTCCACAATTATTAACCCAGGAGTGAAGATGCCTGGGAGGGTCAGCCACAAGGCATCAGCCTGGTAGGGGTACAATAAGAACAGGCAGCAGCCCCCAAAAGCAGCCCTGGAATTCAACATCTGGATTTGTGGAAGAAAAATAAGGGTTTGCTTTCTCACAGCCATATCTAATCCTAACTAATATAATATACTACCTGAGAAATTGGCTTTAAAAAACCTTTAAAAAATCTAAAGGTCAACACACCAAGAAATGACATTTTAAAAGAATCACAAAATATTCATATACATAAACAGAAAAGTTACTCCATGACCAAGAATAAACATGTCTGACAAAGATACTTAACATCACTGTTAAAGTATTTAAGTCACACTCCGTAAACTTGATGAATTTGTCAAACTGGCTGAATGAATTCAGCAAATTGGCTTAGAACACACTAGGTTTGGTTGAGATGATTTTACATAAATTTTAGCCATTCGCTCGCCTCATCCTCCTATATCATAGCACTTATCACTAAAATGTAACAGTAGTAAAAAATAGCTAACATTTATTGAAATATTCCTTCATGCCACCTCTAAACTAACACTAACTGATAACACTGATTCCCAAGTATATATTTAAAAAGTCAGTGTTCTATAGGCCAAAATCCTGCATGAAACCTAATCATCATCATCACTCATCATTAATTGAATTTGAAGATTTTTAGGCAGGACAAACACATACTGGTTTCATCTCACACTACCAGATCAATCTGCTCCCCCCCCTTCCTTCATTTGTTAATTTAATGCCCTGAGGACATTTCTTCTGTAACCTCCGAATGCAGGATCTTATACTTTAAAGTTAAAGTGGTCAGTTTACTAAAAAACATTAAGTTATAGCCCTGACAAGAAGCTCAGTTGCTTGGTGCATCCCCATATGCCAGGGTTGTGGGTTCAATCCTCCCTTGCAGCACATACAGGAATCAACCAATGAATGCATGAATAAGTGGAATAACAAGTCAATGATTCTCTTTCTTTCTCTCTCCTTCTCCCTTCATCTCTGTCTCTCAATCTAAAAATGTAAAATTGTTGTGCTGCCTCTAATAAATCCATATTGATTTGTCAGAACTACACTGTGCCCAACATGAAGCCTGGACTGCATTTGTGTCGTTCACTGTTGTATCTCCATAGCCTAGCAGTGCACCTAACACTAAATGGGTCCTCAGAAATATTTTTTGAATACTTGAGTGAATGACATAACCTTTTTTCCATTTCCATTATTTTACTTTATCAACCCTTCATCTTCCCTGCTTTCAATTTTACCTCCATCCAATGTATACCAGATATTTTCACTCCACTAATTTAAAAAAAAAAAAAGCACTCTTCACTGACTTACCTGGGCTAAGAGGTCAAATCAAAAGTTTGACACCGAACACTGTTAATGACCAAAACCCTACCTGCCTTTTCAGCCTCACCTTCCTTCACTTAATTTCACATTTTTCCTTCTTGCAACAATAAATTGTTCCTAATTCTCTAGACACACAATGTTATCCATATTTCCATTAATTTGTTTACAATGCTCCTCCTTCCATGTTTCTGAGAAAGTGTGGGGAGCTTTTATGGGGTTTTGTTTGTTTGTTTGTTTTTGGCTGTATTAGCACATACCCATCTCACCCTACATCATCAGTGCTCCCTTAGGGGGACTACTATCTCTGTACCTCATGATACCCCATTGTGTTTGTGTCTGACTGACAGCAGAGTCTAAAATATTTTTCCCACATAGATAACCAAGCACCCAGAAAAAAAATTAATGAATAGTTCATTCTTTCCCTCTTAATTTTAAATGTTATTTTTATCATGTTTGGGTATATGTGTCAGATCTATCTCTGGAGTACCATTTTTAATTGGCTCATTTGTGTGACAAATACCAAATGTTTTTATAGTTCTTTATAGTGTATCCTAATACTCCCTAAGCCAATCTCATGTGGAAAAACAGCATGTTGCTTTTGCTTTATTTTGCACTTCCCAAATTGCCTTAAAGTTGAACATCATGTTTCTTGGCCATTCATATTTTCTCTCTTAAGGATGTCCAATTCATATCCTTTACTCATCTATTATACAAGTTAAAGAATTCATTCTTCTAGGTCTTTCAGTTTTATGGTGACTTTCATAAGAATAAAATTGAAATTTAGATGCAGTTAAATGTTCAATCTTTACCTCAATGGCTTTAAATTTTAAGTTTGCTCAGAAGTTTCTTTCCCCTTTATCAAAAGTTGTAAAACTCTTCTCCACATTTTCTTCACTATTTTCAATGTTTAGGTCATTAATGAATCCATCTATAGAGAGATAAAGTATGTAAGGAGGCAAGCAATTTCTCTGCCAACCCAGAGGTGATGGCAATACAGCATACCTGGAGGATAAAAAATTTACTGCGCCTGCCACATGTGGAAAAGGCAAGTTAGGAGATAAATTAAGACATAAATGGGTTATGTAACTAGTCTAAATTTATGCAAAAAAAATTTACCAACAGAGCCAGGGCTTAAACCCACATCCCCTGTTCTGACTGCTGGCCCTGTGGTTCCACACGTCTGATTCTAACGGAACAGAGTTGTTTCTCACAGAGCCAGCCGAGCTTAAATTCAGAAATTAGACTCGTGGTTATCACACGTGTGTAAAGCTATTTCCACACCTTCATCATAAACGCTGCAAAGCTACGCTGAGCGGGAGGCGGTTTTACCCTGCGGATGTTGTCCCGCCCACCTGCCTAGAATCCAGCTAGCATCTCTCCCGGAAGTGAAGCCGCAGAACTTTCTCCCGCCTTTTGGGGGGAGGAGCTCCGGCCAGGCCCCGCCCTCCTCGCACGGACCCTTCTCTCCGCGGCTAGGCTAGCGTACCTTGCTCCGAATTCCCAGGGCTCTGCTGCAGCAATGGGGCCAGCAGCGAACAATAAAGCCTACTTCCAGAGGGGCAGTCTGTTCTGGTTCACCATCATCACCCTCTCCTTTGGCTATTACACGGTAAAGACAGTGAAGGGAGCGAGCGCCTCACTCAACGAAGGACCCGGGCCTGCCGGGAAAAGACTGATCGCCTAGGCGCAATCCCGCACCTGCGCTCTCTCAGCGGAGGGTGACTAGATTCCAAAAAGACGCAGGCGCAGTGGACTGCCCGCGTCTTTAGCCGATGCAGGAAGGCAGGCGAAACCAGGTACTCTGGTTTTCCTGTGTGGGGACGGGAGCAGGTATTGCTCTTCACCCCACACCTCAGTGTCTATATCCTTCAAAATGGTGGTAGCAAAGTCAGAGGCCGGCAAGAATGCCACCGCCTACTTCCGTACAGCCAGACCCTTGCCCTCGTTGGTCACCATCCTTACGCTAGGATATTTTATGGTGAGGCGTCGGAAGGAGCGGGGTATCTGTTTGGGGCTGCCAGCAGGCTCTCAGGGCTTGGGGGCAGGGCAAGGGGCTCCTTGGGAGCGCAGTCTTGCGCTTGCGCTGGTGGTGGTTGCCAAGGTTACTGCACCTAGCCGAAGTTCAGTAGCCTTACAACCCAGCTTCTATTTATCGAGTCTCTCTCTGCCTTTGTGTTTGCTCCGCGGTTACTGCGTTTTACCTCAGTCTCAGCACTCCGAGGAAGGCAGGTTTACACTCTGCTGTAGGCTTGCCAAGTCAGGATAGGGCTTCTGAAGCAGAATGTTTGAGGCAGTTGGAATTGATTAGGGAACGGACATAACCCTAAGGAATGAGTAGAATTTAACTGATAAGAAGGAGTGGAGAGAATATAAATGTTGTGGCACGGATGTGAAAACAAGAAGTCAGAGAATCTCTACTGAGAGGAGAAGCAACTCTTGTCTGGCTGACAGTTCATTTAAAAGACAACGGGCAAAACTGGAAAGGTCGGTTGGAGACCGACTTGGTATAATTTTGAATGAAAGCAAAAACTATTTGGGTATTTCCCGGTATGTCCTGGAGATTGCAGATTAGAAGTGTTTTGTCCACATTGTTGTTGTGAAAACTGACGACCTTTGTGGTGATTTCTCCATATGTAAAGCGGAGGTGTTGAACTGAAAATTTTCAAAGGTCAAATTCTGTTCTTTGATTCTGCATCTCTGAGTAGTTAGGATATAAATGGAGGAAAGCTTTGGTGGCTTTATATTGGGATATTGTGGAGCTGGTGGATGCTGCCCTTTCATCTTGGTTTGGGAGGATAACTTGGTTTTATGCTTTATTTAAATTTTAAGTGTATAACACCATAATGGGATAGGTAGTACTGCTCTTGGCTGAAATCTGTATGGAATAATAAATTTTAGATCTAATGGGCCTTAATTATTCTAAAAAGCCTAGTTAACAGGGAAAGTTGGTAAGATTACAAAAACCTTATGTGATTAAGTAGTTGCTATTAGCACTTAACAAACCGGATCTTACTTATTTCTCAGTTCTATGCAGTGAACCAGTCACAGTTTTAGAGGTAGAAGAGATGAAAGAAGAGAAAGGGATTTTAAATTAAATGGGGACTTGGCTCAAGCCATAGATTGTGCAGTAAGGAAGCTAGCCAGGACACATAAGCTCTTAAAATTGTGTGGAATTCATTAAGAATAGAAGTCATCCAACCTGGGCAATAAGTCTGATAACCACATAGTTTCCTCAGCATAAATCTCCCATTGGAATAATTTTTAGAAAATAGAAGTCAAGCATGGAACCCCATATGACTTAGTTCAAAAAATTTTTTTGTTCTGTCTTTGCTGTTGTAGAATCAGGATTATTTCATAGCCTCTCTCAATACAATGACTTAAGTGACCTAATAGGTGTTCTGTACCTTTGGTTCTCTTTCAGTGGGTTGTCTTCTGGCCTCAAAGTATTCCTTATCAGAGCCTAGGGCCCCTGGGCCTCTTCACTCAGTACTTGGCGGACCACCATCACACCCTCCTACACAATGGGTAAGGAGAGCAGCAGCAGTGGGATTGGACCACTGCAGTTCTAGTCTCCCTGTAGACATGGGAGGCCTGCAGTTGCCTTTAGATATCTAAGAATGGTGCTAGTTCACATTAAAGCACCTTCTTTTTTGACGTTTCTGTGTTAGATTTCATCAGCAAATAACCATCACCTTAAACTAAACTGACTTTGTTTCAGGTATTGGCTTGCCTGGCTGATCCATGTGGGAGAGTCCTTGTATGCCATGGTATTGTGCAAGTAAGTGTTTTTCATAGGTATTTGTCACTTTTAGTATCTGATATAAGTTGAGAGTAGTCCCATTTAATTAATTCATGTACTTGTAGGCTGAGAGCATTCTCAGGGTAGAGTTGAATCCCCACACCTAATACTGAGCCTAGCTCAGAGGGAGTAGTCAATAAATATTTAATGAATGAATTAATTTCATTTGTGTTAGCTTAAGAAATTTTAGATCTATTGGGACTTAATTATTCTCAAAAGCCTAATTGACAGAGGGAAAGTTGTTTAGTTACTTAATTTAGATGACTTTTCTTATTTTTTTCAAAAAAAATTCTCTGTATTTGCACCAACAAGAACAAAGATTAGGAGGCTGCCTTCTAGTTTTAAAAGGCTTAGTTACTGACTGGGGCTGATGACTCTCAATCCTACTTTCACAACCGAGTCACCTAAGGAGCTTTTTCAAAATACACAAGCCTGGTTTCCAGACCAACAAGATCCTGATGTGGTCGGCCTTGCTTCAGACATGGGACTGTGTTATTTTTACAAGCTCCACAGACAGTAAATGCAAGTTAAAAGCCACTTGACTAAATGCCACTCAGCAGATGCCAGTGTAGGTTAATACTGTGTGAGAGTACTAAGAAAGATTCTCTTTATGTTTGTACTTTCTGTAGCATATAAAGGATGATGTAATGAAAGAGATGGTTATAATCATGCCAAACTGCTTGGCAGTTGATATTTTTCTGGCCAAGACTAACTATCACCTCTATTATTGCTGTATTACTGCTAAAAGTGAAAAATACTACTTTTTGTTAATAAAAGCAATTCATGTTTATTGGGTATGCACTATGCCAGACACTGCTAAGTACTCTAAATGGATGGTACTCTATCTTCTGGTTGATTAAACAAGCTAGAGTTTCCAGGAGAGGAACTGAAACCAGCTTTATTCTTTTTCACCCCTCTCCAAATACACTCACTGTGTAGATTTTTGTCTGTCTCCCACCCTAGGTCTGGATGAAATCTGAAGCAGTTCCGTAGGTTTCCCCTGTGATATGTTCTAGTATAGTCCAATTGATTTACTGAAACTGGAAACTTCTTTTTTTCTTTTCTTTAAAGAGAGGCAGAGAAACATCAGTGTGTGGCAGTCTATTGCAAGCTCCCCACTAGAGACCAGGCACACAACCCAGGCAGTGCCCTGACTGGGAATTGAACCAGTGACCCTGTGGTTCACAGGCCAGCACTCATTCCACTGAGCCACACCAGCCAGGGATAAAACAGGAAACTTATCTATTCAGAATGTCTACTCTCCTCAAGCTGGTGCTCAGGAGCCTGTTGTGGGGAAGAGGGGATTTGATGTCTCCTCTCCACCTCTTTTTCTTTCTTTTTTTTAAAAAAATATTTATTTATTTATGTTTAGAGGGGAAGGAGAGAGGGAGAGAAACATCAATGTATGGTTGCCTCTAGTGCATCCCCTGCTGGGAAGTGGCCTGCAGGGAACTGGCTTGCAACCCAGGCATGTGCCCTGACTGGGAATTGAACCACGATCCTCTGGTTCGCAGACCTGCGCTCAATCCACTGAGCTACACCAGCCAGGGCTCTCTGCCTCTTTTTCTATTGATTAGCAGCTGCTTGTGGCCTCGAGGTTGTGGGAGCAGTTAAGGGCAACAGGGCACAGTCTGCCTTGTGATCAGCAGCTGGGTGCTGAGGATGTTGCATACCCAGTGTTGGCTCTTTCCTCCAGAGGGGCCGTGGTGGGTGTTCACAAAACCACTCATCACTTGGGATCTCCCTTCTGCAGTTCCCCTGCTGGTTTCTTCAGACACATCCTCCAATGTGCCATTGCTGTTTCTCCTCGGGATCTATGATGGGGGGAAAATTCTCTTTTACTGAGTTCTCTTCTTCTATTCAGTCAGGCCTCTAAGCAAGTCCCTTTTAAGCCCACCAATGTCCAGTGTCCTTCCACAAGGTCTGTGTGGCTCACAGTAAGTTTCTTTGTCCCCCCACTGGGTTGAATCTGCAAGTGCATGCTGTTCACAGTGCAGCCTTGTACCCAGCAGGGGGGACAACCAGTCTTTCAACTTTAAATCAGATGTTAATAACTTCCCCTAAATTCCAAGAAATTCTTGTCACGCTCTCCAAGTGGTTCTGTTAAAGCTGTTCTTTGGAATTCACTTGTAATAGGAAATGCCACAGCACACTAGTGCCTCTTTCCAATGGCCTCTTCAGCCTATTGGTGAAATCTTAGCTGAAAGGTGAGTGGTTCAGCCTCTCAACTTACATTGTTGGAGTACTTGACACCTATTTTGTTCTTGGTTTAGAAACTCTAATGAAAACCAAAAGACTCATTAATATCCTCCTACCCATTTCTTGAAGGGTGGAGGGAAAACAAATGTGGAGAAGTTCAGTCACCATTATCTTGCGAAATCATTTCTTTATGGTGTAACATGTTGCAATGTATTGTTGATCCCTATAAAACAAAATAAGCATTCCTTCTAGATTATGAATAGATGAGTAATTCAAGTGAATTACTTAGTATGTAAAGCCATATTGTGTATATGTAGCATCCCACATCCCACCATCCAGCAATAAAAATGAATTGGTGAATTCCTTTTAACCAGAGTTAAGATTGGACTATATGTTTTGCTTTATAGCCACCATAGTGTGTGTGTGTGTATGTGTACGTGTGTGTACGTGTGTGTATGTGTACACACACACTCTTCCATAACTTTTCTCCTTGGCATTTATTCCTATTTTTCCATGTCTGTACCTATAAGTTTGTCTCATTCCTTTTGTTAGTGCATAGTAGCCTATATGTGTATGTACCTCAATATTAATGTATTTATGTATTTAACAAATTCCCATTGTGGTGGACTTTTAAGTCTAGTTTTTACTATTGTAAGTAACACTATGTAGACAGTTTTATTTCTTCCTTTCAAATCTGGACATCTTTTTTTTAGATTTTATTTATTTATTTTTAGAGAGCAGGAAAGGAGGGAGAAAGAGAAGGGGAGAAACATCAATGTGTGGTTGCTTCTTACACACCTCATCGCAACCAGGGACCTGGCCTGCAACCCAGGCATGTGCCCTGACTAGGAATCGAACTGGCGACCCTTTGGTTCACTGGCCAGCACTAAATCCACTGAGCCACACCAGACAAGGCTAATTCTGTATATCTTTTATTTAGGATTCTTTTTGTATTGCACTGGCTACTACATCCAACACAGTAGTGACTAGAAATGGTGGTAGTAGGCATTTTTGCCTTGTTCCTGATCAAAAGGAAAACTTGTAACATTTTTCTATCACGTCTTTTCTAGAGTTGTGTAGATCTCCACTATCAGAAAAAGGAAGTTCCATTCTAACATTTCTAGGTTTGCTAAGATGTTAGAGCAGAATGGATTTTGAAATTTTATGAGATGCTTCTTCTTCATTTATTAAGATTATCATATGATTTTTATTTTTTAATTTGTTATTGTGGAAAAGTGCACTTGACCCCTAAAGAACATGTTGGGTGTTTTTTTTTTTCAACATATACAGTCAGTGCTCCGTACCCATGGGTTTCACATCTGTGGTTTCCACCAACTGCTGATTGAAAATATTGTCTTCAGACCACAGTTTGGAATCCACAGATGTGGAGGACCTACTGTTTGCATTGTTCTACATTATTTTATACAAGAGACTTGACCGTCCTCTGTTTTCTGTATCACCAAGGATTCCTGGGGCCAACCGCCTGCAAATATAAAGGGTTAACTGTGGTTAAATTTTGCAGAAGTCAGAAGTTACACACAGATTTCGACTATGTGGAAGAGTCAGTTCCTTTAGCTTCTATGTTCTTCAAGGATCAACTGTGTGTCATTTTTACATATATTGTTTTTACATTTTGTTTTCAATTAAAAGTCATTCACATGAGACTTAAATACAGATGAAAATGTAGTATTTCACTTCAGTTGGGTCATTTTCTTTTGAGCTTTGTTTTAAGCAGTTTAGTTACAGGTGTTTATCATTACTATTATTACTATAGTATTATTACTATATTACTATGTCAAGCCCTTTACTAAGCACTTTGTGTTCATTATCTCATAAATCATCTCAAATTCGATGAAATAAAAACCATTTTTCTTATTTTTTTAGACAAGGAAATTGTCTAAAGAATGAGTGACTTGCCCAGGGTTTCAGTGGATAGTTGGCCAAGCTAAGATTCACATCTGGCCTTTCTTCAAAACACTTGCTCTGAAGCCATACCAGTGCTACTTTAACCCTATCCACTCATCAGAATCATGAGAGAACCAGTGGTATAATAACAGTGCTCTAGGCAGTGGCCAAACTGTTTCTCAGGGAAGAGTGTACCATCCTAAATGCACAAGAAAAATGAAAATAAATCAACTAAGCATTTGAGTTAAGAAGCTGGAGAAATGGCAAAATAAACCCAATGAAAGTAGTTAGAAGGAGTACATTATTTTTAAAAAAATAGAAGACAGTAACTCCTATGAAACCATAATATTAAAATTTTGATGGTTAAATTTTTCTTTTTTTAGGTCTAAAGGCATAACGAACGCTCGGGCTCAACTACTCTGGTTCCTACAGACTTTCCTCTTTGGGATAGCCTCCCTGTCCATCTTGATTGCTTACAATCCAAAGCATCCAAAAAAAACTTAACATATTCAGAAGCTTTCTCTACATTTTGACATCCAAACTCATCTTTTTGTGGGGTGCTTTGTTTATTCCATCTTTCTATTTTCTGGAAAGTTAAGGCTCTCTAGTTATTCATTATTTCTTATGCTTTAGTTGAACTTGAGTAGATCATAGGAAAAGATTTTAGCTGTCCTATTCTGCACACTAACCTATTTGGCAGAGGGCTTCCAGCTACCTTCTAGAAGTCCTTGGTTATGTTGGTGCTTTGTCCCTATCATCTGGATTAAGCCCTGTACTAAATCTGTTTGTTGATGTACTTTCACTCCCATCTTCTGACTAAAACACCTTAACAATCATCTTAGCTCTCTTTTCCCAAAATATTTCCACCTTTCTGGACCAAGGGGGAGTAACCATGTCCACAATATATCAATTCCACAAGCATTTGTTAGCACCAGTGAGGCAAGGTCTTATCCTCTCAAATTTTCATTTCTCACACTACCAAGAAAGATAAGGAAGATAAGCAAGTGCCTGGAACCAGGCAGCCTGAGCAGATACATAAAGGCAGAAGGACATGCTGACACCCATGAGGAGAGAGTTGGACAATGCCTTCCTTGATTCTGCCAACCAGAGTGATTCTTCCCTCCATATGGCCCCTTGGACACAGTGCAAGGTCTGATTGCTACTGCTGGATTACTCCTTCAAGTCAAGACTACATCTTAGCTTTATTTTATCACCTGCCTCATTGCCTTGGAAACAGGTGTTTTATCAGTGTTTATTGAACAAAAAAGGGAAACTTTGATTTCACTGTCTAGTATCAATCCAATTTTTATGTGAAAACTGCAGGACCCATTTAGTGTAACCTAGTCTCAAGGAAAAGCACAGACGATCTTTGACTGGTAGTACCAGCTTTCTTTTGGTCCCCTGTTGGGAAACCTGTATCTTTTTCACGCTTTCCTGTTCTTGGTCCTTTTCTCCAGATGCTGTAGGTGTCTCCCTTCAGCTCTGGCTTACTCCAACACAAAACATTCCTGTTCTAGAGATTCTAGTCCATGGGTGGTCCAGCTGGTTACCACCTCTTCTACCCATTCACCTCATTAATACTGACTGGTTACAGTACGGCAGTGATTTTCAACTTTTTTCATCTCATGGCACACCAAAAAATATATTTTTTGCTGATCTACAAAAAACAGGTATAATTTTGAATCATTCATACCAGACAGCATTGTTGTATTGGCTGTTTTCTTTTTTTGGTAAGATTTTACTTATTTATTTATTTATTTATTTGTAGAGGGGAAGGGAAGGAGAAAGAAAGGCAGAGAAACATCAATGTGTGGTTGCCTCTAGTGTGCCCTTCACTGGGTACCTGGCCTGCAGCCCAGGAATGTTCCTCGACTGGGAATTAAACCAGCAACCCTTTGGTTCACAGCCTCTCCCTCCCCACTCAATTATTTTATAGCTATACCAGCCAGGCTATACCAGCCAGGCTGTTGTCATTTCTTCATTTGACAATCTAAGGGAAAAGAGGTCAGTGCCCCTGGTAAATAATCAGGTATTATGTTTTTTAAAACTATTGCTGCAGTCCTGACCAGGAGGTTCAGTTGGTTGGAGCATTGTCCCATTCACCAAAGGGTTGTGAGCTCAGTCCCCAGTCAAGGCACCTACAGTAGCCAATTGATCAATGTTTCTCTCACATTGATGTTTCTTCCTCTCTCCCACTTAAACTCTGTCTCCAAAAATCAATGAACCTATCCTTGGGTGAGGATTAAATTTTTAAAAAAACTCTTGCACACCAGTTGTGCTGCAGCACACCTGTTGAAAATCGCTGCAGTGGGGCATGCTATGTGTTTTAAGCAAACGTTTATGAGAAACAGCCCTCTTCCCCCATCCCCCCAAAAAAGTCCCCATGTAAAAGCACCACCCTGAAAGACTATGGACAGTGAATTGTTTCTGATGGAGATCAGTTTCTACAAACATCTTTCCTTCTGTTTCTCTTCTGATTAGGGGTTGCTTTTTGGTATGGTAAAATATTTTAGAGTTAAACATAGTGGAAATTCAACTCACGTTTTTTTGAAAGCATGGTCCTCTCCAAGGGAAATACAATAGTATTAATTTTGCTAGAAACAATATAGCAGATTATTGAATGAAATGGATTTATTTGATTAAATGGTATGAATTGTCTCCAATAAAATATTGTTTTTGTGTCTGTTTTGATATATTGTCAAACTTTTGATTCTACCTTTTTTCAAGTAGACTCTGTTATAGAACTGTTTGTCCAGTTCAGATAGCAGGCATTTTTTTTTCTTCACTGATACATGCAGAATGCCCTGGTATGGTTTGTATGCTCCTCATTACATTTATTTATTTTTTAAAGATTTTATTTACCTTTAGAGGGGAAGGAGAGAGGGAGAGAAATATCAACGTATGGTTGCCTCTCATGTGTCCCCTGCTGGGAACTGGCCTGCAACCCAGGTATGTGCCCTGACTAGGAATCAAACCGCAGTCTGGTTTGCAGGTCCACGCTCAATCCATTGAGCTACACCAGCCAGGCCCTCCTCATTACATTTCTAGAACTGCCCACAGCCCACTTCTCCATGCACACTGAGCCCCAGGTGGACACGAGTATCTCCTTTTATTATGGGACTGTCCTCTAGTTCCCATTAACAATTCATTTAGACTTCCAGCCAAGATGGAGGCATAGGTGAAAACACTGTGCCTCCTCGCACAACGAAGTTTGAAGATAGCAAAGTTTTAGTAACAAAAATGCAGCCAAAACACAGAAAATTGAACTGTACAGAAGTCCGGCAACAACAAACACTTCAGCCAGACTGGTAAGAGGGGCGGAGTCAGCTGCAGAGCAGGGTCAGGCAGGAAAGATCGGCTGGACCAACCCAGGAGCTCAGGCGGCAGTTGGCAGGTCCCAGGTGTGGGGTGGCAATAGGTGGACCCAGTGAGGGCACAAGGCAGCTGGCTGAACACGGTCACACATTTGCATGCAGATAAACCAAGCAAAGGACCAAGCAGTAAGACAGACTGCTCAGGCTAGGGCCCCAGCGATGGGAATTAGAGCCTGAAAGCACCAATTAGAAAGACTTTCGGGGTCAAGGTGCCAAGAGAGGCTCCCAGGCTCACAGAGAGTTTGTTGGAGAGACCTACAGGGTCCAGGAGGGTGCACAGGCCCACACACGCAGCAGCCAACACCGGGCGGGGGCGGGGCAGGTTTGCTTGCAGCAAGCAGCAGAAGGGACTGAAATCCAAGAGAGCATAACAAACACCATTGCCCCTCTCTGACCCCACCCCCACATATAGCGTCACAACCCAGTGACTGGGTCGCCCCACCCTTGTGAACACCTAAGGCTCCGCCCCTCATAAGTAACAGGTGCAAACAGACCAAAATATTAAGGCTCAAGAACAGCTCAAAGCCCCAGAGCCAGTAATTCTTAAGCAATCAAGAGATAGCCAGCCTTTCAGATGCACAGTTCTAAACACTGGTGATCAGGATGCTCACAAAACTGGTTGATTTTAGTCACAAATTGGAGGAACAAATGAAGGCTAAACTAATTAAAATTAAGGAAAATGCACAGGAAACCAATAGTGATGGAAAGGAAACTGGGACTCAAATCAAGAAAGGAAGGAAGGTCTGTGGACCAGAAGGAAGAAAAAAATTACCAAACAGAAAAGAATGAAGAAACAAATTCAAAACAATGAGGAGAGGCTTAGGAACCTCCAGGACATCTTTAAACGCTCCAACATCCAAATTATAGGGGTACCAGAAGGGGAAGAGGAAGAGCAACAAGTGGAAAACTTATTTGAACAAATAATAAAGGAGAACTTCCCCAATCTGGAAAAGGAAATAGATTTCCAGGAAATCCAGGAAGCTCAGAGAGTACCAAAGAAGTTGGACCCAAGAAGAAACACACCAAGACACATCATCATTACATTAGCCAAGATTAAAATGAAGGAGAGAATCCTAGAAGCAGCAAGAGAAAAGGAGACAGTTACCTACGAAGGAGTTTCTATCAGACTGTCAGCTGATTTCTCAAAAGAGACCTTACAGGCAAGAAGGGGCTGGAAAGAGGTATTCCAAGTCATGAAATCCAAAGACCTACAACCAAGATTGCTGTATCCAGCAAAGCTTTCATTTAGAATGGAAGGACAGTTAAAGTGCTTCTCAGATAAGGTCAAGTTCAAGGAGTTCATCATCACCAAGGCCTTATTATATGAAATGTTAAAGGGATTTATATAAGAAAAAGAAGATAAAAAATATGAACAGTGAAAGGACAGCAAACTCAGTTATTAAGAACCACACCTAAAACAATAGCAAACTAAGAGGACAGCTACATCAGGAGCAGAACCATAGAAATGAAGATCACATGGAGGGTTAGCAACAGGGGAGTGGGAGGAGGAGAAGGGGAGAGAAGGTACAGAGAATAAGTAGCATAGATGGTAGGTAGAAAATAGACAGGGAGCAGGGCAAGAATAGTATGGGAAATATAGAATCTAAAGAACTTGAGACATGGTCATAAACTAAAGGGGGGGAATGGTGGGGGAGGGAGTGTGCAGGGTGGAGGGGAATGAAGGGGGGAAATAAGAACTGTAATGGCATAATCAATAAAATATATTTTTAAAAATTTATTTAGCATATCATGCAATCTATGCTGCAAGTGAGACAAGTATTCTGACTTTTTAATGCCAAAAGTATAAAATTCTATAATCTTATTTTGGGTATATGGCTTACAGCAAAAAAAAATGATTGTATTGGAAAAATGCTGCCTGTGATTCTTTTACGGACACTGCAGCCCATTGAGGTGTCGTAACATCATCACACAGAGAGAGGCTATACTGACTGCATATTATGTTTCTCCCCTCCCCACAGCCCAGAGCTGAAAAGTAAGTCTGTGAAGCAAAAAATAAACAGAACGATGGAGACATCATGGCTTTGAATTGCAGTCATAGTGGTGATTTAGAAATATCTTTATGTTGAGTTTGGATAAGAAAAGGCCAAAGGCATTTTGGTGGAAGCAGCCATGGAGGCCAAGGTGAACTCTCTTACCCACCTGCCCCCCCCCACACCGGAAAATTGTTAAGAGCATGTGTAGTTTATAGGAACAAAAAAGAACCTGCCCCCCCACCATTGGTTGGCTGGTGGGGGTAGGGGGCATGGGGAGCAACTAGTGACCTCACAACTTAAGTAAAAACAGGCCAGATTTATAAACTAACACTTTCCTACATTCAAAATGTTTATGACTATGGAATCCAAGTCTAAATGTGTTTTATAAACCATGGTCTTAAAACAAGTTTTGGGTTTAAGAGGTTCCATTTAAAAGGTTAAATAAATTGCTATAGAGTTCTTTGGCAAAACAGCTTGCCATCTGAGAGTCTGCATGTATTTACATGGAAAGTCTGAAAACATAAGTTAGAGAATCTGCCATTGAGGTTAGAGTACAGAATGCAATCATATTTTTATCTTCTCCCTGGCCCTTCCTGGAGCCTTGTTAATCAAAGGCTCTTAGTTTAGCACCATGGGCTTTATTACTTATCCTCCCCTTACCAGCACAGACAAAAAAGAAAAGAAAGAAAGAGAGGGAGAGAGAGAGAGAGAGAGAAAGAAAAAAAAAGAAAGAAAGAGAAAGGAAGGAAGGAAGGAAGGAAGGAAGGAAGGAAGGAAGGAAGGAAGGAAGGAAGGAAGGAAGGAAGGAAGGAAGGAAGGGAAAGGAAGGAAAGGAAAGGAAAGGAAAGGAAAGGAAAGGAAAGGAAAGGAAAGGAAAGGAAAGGAAAGGAAAGGAAAGGAAAGGAAAGGAAAGGCCATTAGGGTAGCTGAGCAATACATTTGAAGTCTGTGAGACCCTTCTCTCAGCAAGGTCACTTGTCCACATCAAATTGGGAATCACTAAGGTTGGACAATGAGAGTGTACAGTTATCATTTCACATTTCTCTTTATGAAGAGGAGAGCTATACTTTTATCCCACAGTGGACATTTGAAAATCCTATTCAAAATACTGTGTTTGCAATTTCTATCAACAAACATTTTAATGATTCCTAAGCTTTCTTAATAGGATTGAGTATAATGATTGTCTTTTTTTTTTGTTTGTGTTATCGTGAAGTTGGATTAGGAAAAATATCTTTGGCATACTAATACTGTTCAGGGAAATAGTCATGAGAGAAGTTTTTCTTTGTACCAATATATTGCACAGGATGTTCCCAGTAAATAAAAATTAGTTAAAATTGCCACTAAAATTGAAATCCTGGCACTGCTATGAATGAAAGAGAGGAATGTCACCTTTAGTATAAAGTGGCAAAGTGTTGGCTAAACAGGCGTGTAGGAACCACTGTCACTCACAACTTCAGTCATGTCTATACTGTACCTGAATAGACTTGTTAAAAAAATTGTTCTACTTTTTCCAAGATGGAGGCATAGGTGGATAAGCCGTGCCTTCTCACACAACCAAGTTTAGAGACAACTAAATATTAGCAACAGAAAACACAGCCAGAACACAGAAAATTGAACTTTTCGGAAGTCTGTTAACAACAAATTCTTCAGCCTGACCGGTAAGGGGCGAAACCAGCAGCTGGTGGAGCGGGGTTGCACAGGAAAACTCAGTCAGATGGACTCAGGCACGCGGAATCCAGGTGCAGGGTTGGACCTAGTGAGTGACCTCAGGGAAACAGCGAGGGAGCAGGGCTGCGGGTTGACTGTGGTCGCGCATTTGTGTGCGGATAGACAAGCGAGGGAGTAGACGATTGGACCGGGACCCAGGTGGTCCCCACAGCAAGCGGCAGGGAGGGCGCCGCCATTTCCCTGCTCTGACCCCACCTCCACATACAGCGTCATAACCCAGCGACTCTGAGTGGCCTGGCCCTGGTGAACCACCTAAGCCTCTGCTCCTCACCCAGCCGCAAGAAACAGCAGAGGGGGCCACCAATTTCCCCGCTCTGACCACGCCCCCACATACAGCGTCACAACCCAGCTACCTGGGAGTCCAAGGCGCTGCTCCTCACACTTAAAGGGCGCGAACAGACCAAAAATGGCACAAGAAGATCTCAAAGCCCCAGAGCCTATAGATCTAAGTGATGAAGAAATAGCAAAACTCTCAGATGCACAGTTTAAAACACTGGTGATCAGGATCCTCACAGAACTGGTTGATTATAGCCACAAATTAGACAAATATATGAAGGCGAAACTAATTGAAATGAATGGAA